TAAATTTAAAAAAACAAAATAAAAGATGATAACTGCATAAATTTTTATAACCTTTTTAAAATTTTATTTACAAATCCAAAAGTTTAATTTACAAAAACAAAATTTATAAATACAAAAAATAATAATTTTTTTAATATACAAAATATTTACTACTAGTACTATTTATTTATACTAAATATTTAAATTCGCCACCTAAATTTTTTTACTGACCTGGTGTAGTGAATCTCACTATGCCACTTAAATGCCTTTGTTTCTTATTTAAATTGATTCTAAAATAGCATATTGCAATTAAATTACTTTTAACTAACATTTTATTTAACCAAATTTGCCAAGTCAAGCAAGTTCCTTATCTAAAAGCTATTTAGTTACCAATTTAATAAGTTTTATTACTTATTTTTGATGATGTTTTGAAGCTTTAAATATATTTAATGCAATTTTAAATCACTGTAAATTTATTTAAAATTTACAAACAATTTAATGATAAAAATTATAATATAAAATTAGATTATAAAATACAAACATCTATGTAAAAAAGCTTTAAAAGTTTTTCAAGTATATTAAAAACTTAAATATTTAAAAACCTTTCATACAGTGTTTTTAATGACAGTCATCCATTAAAAAGTTAGAAGAGGATCGTGAATTCATAAAAAGTTAGAAGAGAATCGTGAATTCATAAAAAGTTAGAAGAGGATCGTGAATTCATAAAAAGTTAGAAGAGGATTGTGAATTCATAAAAATTTTAATACTATGAAGTATTTTTTTTTTTTACATTTATAATATAAATATTAAAATAAATATAAAAGAAGATAGTATATTTAAATAAGCATTAAAACTTCTTAAAAGTGTATTTAAAAGCAATATATGAAATTAAAATAGATCAAAGTATCAAATTCTTTCATTCAAAGTTAAATTTCAAGAAATTATCTTTCGTTCTTATTTTTCTCTCATATATCGCACAAAGAAGTGTTGCAAAATAAATATTCAAAGTTTAATTTCAAGAAATTATCTTTCGTTCTTATTTTTCTCTCATATATCGCACAAAGAAGTGTTGCAAAATAAATATTCAAAGTTTAATTTCAAGAAATTATCTTTCGTTCTTATTTTTCTCTCATATATCGCACAAAGAAGTGTTGCAAAATAAATATTCAAAGTTTAATTTCAAGAAATTATCTTTCGTTCTTATTTTTCTCTCATATATCGCACAAAGAAGTGTTGCAAAATAAATATTCAAAGTTTAATTTCAAGAAATTATCTTTCGTTCTTATTTTTCTCTCATATATCGCACAAAGAAGTGTTGCAAAATAAATATTCAAAGTTTAATTTCAAGAAATTATCTTTCGTTCTTATTTTTCTCTCATATATCGCACAAAGAAGTGTTGCAAAATAAATATTCAAAGTTTAATTTCAAGAAATTATCTTTCGTTCTTATTTTTCTCTCATATATCGCACAAAGAAGTGTTGCAAAATAAATATTCAAAGTTTAATTTCAAGAAATTATCTTTCGTTCTTATTTTTCTCTCATATATCGCACAAAGAAGTGTTGCAAAATAAATATTCAAAGTTTAATTTCAAGAAATTATCTTTCGTTCTTATTTTTCTCTCATATATCGCACAAAGAAGTGTTGCAAAATAAATATTCAAAGTTTAATTTCAAGAAATTATCTTTCGTTCTTATTTTTCTCTCATATATCGCACAAAGAAGTGTTGCAAAATAAATATTCAAAGTTTAATTTCAAGAAATTATCTTTCGTTCTTATTTTTCTCTCATATATCGCACAAAGAAGTGTTGCAAAATAAATATTCAAAGTTTAATTTCAAGAAATTATCTTTCGTTCTTATTTTTCTCTCATATATCGCACAAAGAAGTGTTGCAAAATAAATATTCAAAGTTTAATTTCAAGAAATTATCTTTCGTTCTTATTTTTCTCTCATATATCGCACAAAGAAGTGTTGCAAAATAAATATTCAAAGTTTAATTTCAAGAAATTATCTTTCGTTCTTATTTTTCTCTCATATATCGCACAAAGAAGTGTTGCAAAATAAATATTCAAAGTTTAATTTCAAGAAATTATCTTTCGTTCTTATTTTTCTCTCATATATCGCACAAAGAAGTGTTGCAAAATAAATATTCAAAGTTTAATTTCAAGAAATTATCTTTCGTTCTTATTTTTCTCTCATATATCGCACAAAGAAGTGTTGCAAAATAAATATTCAAAGTTTAATTTCAAGAAATTATCTTTCGTTCTTATTTTTCTCTCATATATCGCACAAAGAAGTGTTGCAAAATAAATATTCAAAGTTTAATTTCAAGAAATTATCTTTCGTTCTTATTTTTCTCTCATATATTGCACAAAGAAGTGTTGCAAAATAAATATTCAAAGTTTAATTTCAAGAAATTATCTTTCGTTCTTATTTTTCTCTCATATATCGCACAAAGAAGTGTTGCAAAATAAATATTCAAAGTTTAATTTCAAGAAATTATCTTTCGTTCTTATTTTTCTCTCATATATCGCACAAAGAAGTGTTGCAAAATAAATATTCAAAGTTTAATTTCAAGAAATTATCTTTCGTTCTTATTTTTCTCTCATATATCGCACAAAGAAGTGTTGCAAAATAAATATGAAAAAGCTTAAAAAGATTGCTCAGGATAAAACAAATGGAATAATTTAATTTAACATTTATTAAATATATAACTTTTTTTTATTCCTGGTATATAACCCGCCAAAAAAACAAAACATTTCAGAGATATTTATTAGGTATTATTTTTTTAAAGTATGTCATGTTGGGTCTCAAATGAAGTGAAACTATATAAAAATTTTAAAAACAATATTTTTATAAAACAATAATTATTTTTGATTTTACTGCATAAAAGATGAGATATTTTAACTAAAAAAAAAAAAAAAATTTTCCTCATAACTTTTTTTAATTTGTTTTTTATAAAATGATTATTTTTGAAACTTTTAATATAATTTCTCTTCATTTGAGACCCAACATAACATACTTTTGAAAAAAAAAATTAATAATATTAGGGACCCATTAAATTTTCAATGGTCTTAGGGCATCTCAAGATAATTTCCTTGAGCATTAATATTTTTCCAGAGTATTTCTTATATGAATAGACAGTTTTTGCACAACCACTCTAAATGAATTCTATGTATATTTATCTAAAAAATATCAAAATTTTGTACTTATATGGAATCTTAATTTGCTTGTATAAATTGAACTGGGAAACTATGGGCATGAGCAGTGATTTGCTTTAAACTTTTTTGTAATGTCGGATCAATTTTCCCCTTGGTCCTTCCCTTGGTGCAAATTTATGTTAAATTGAATGAAATTAAAAGATGGTGTATGGCATTTATGTATTGTTTGTAAAATGTTTTGTCGAAATTCGCCTTAAAAGCCAAATACAATATTTTTTTACACAAATGTTTGCAGTATTAACCCAGTTTTGCACTTATTCTAATTTTCAAATTATTTTCTCTACATTAACTTACACTCATATTTTCTCTACATTAACTTACACTTATTTTGTTTTTTAAAAATTTCTGTTGTTTTCACTTTAGCAGTTTAAATATTTTTACTTAAGGGGGCTTCCCCTATAAATAATTTAGTATTAAAATTTATTTTCATATTATATTTTCATATTATTTAACCGTTATATTTTACTATTATTATTATTATTTTTTTACTTCTTAACAAGAATTACAGCAATATGTCATTTGGTCAGTTACAAATAATGCGTCAAACTTTGATGTTATTCCTTCAAGATTTAAATATCAAGGTATTTTTTTGATTTTTTGTTTGTTTTTTTTTCCAACTTTTTTTCTATGTCTTAATTTATTGTTTTAAATGTAACTTTTAGGTATCAATTTTTCTTAAAGAAAAATCGCAACTAACAAATGGACGCTTTATACTACCTTGTGGTGGTCAACTTCCTTGGGGAACAGATGTTCCCGGTACTATAAGGTTGTTATATACATACCTTATTATTCTGTTGTTCCTGGTACAATAATGTCATATATCTACTTTATTATTACAATTAAAACCATAAAATAATATATTTGTTTTAAGTATTTAAATTTTAATATTTGTTTTAAGTAATTATTTTAATATTTGTTTTAAGTAATTATTTTAATATTTATTTTAATTTTATTTTTTATCAAGATTGTTTAATGAGAGTGGCGAGCCAGAAAGTACAAAAACCTTTGATGCAAAATTCAAATACAATTTAGCAAACAAAATGGGATCTGTTGAGCTATTAGGTGATAGAATGACAAATCTTGGTCGAAATATGTAAGATAATTTTTTATTTACCTCTCATTTATATATATATATATATATATATATATATATATATATATATATATATATATATATATTATATATATATATATATATATATATATATATATATATATATATAAAAATAAGGTAAATAATAATAACAATAATTATAAAATAATAAGCAATAGTAATAATTTATAACAATAATAATAATAATAATAACAAAAAAAAATTATAAATAATAATAATTACTATAATAATAAGTAAAATGATATGTTATTTCTTATTATAATAAGTTAATGATTAGTATGGACGGTGTCACTCATACAGAAGTCTGATCAAACAAGTGACACCATTAATACAGCTCTTGAAATTAGGAAAAATGAGTTTGAGACCTCTAACAATTTAAGGTCAGCAATTTATTGTCAACCTTTAAGTACTAGAGGTCAGCAAAAAAATTTTGAAAGGTCTTACTATAAAACATAAAAGCAAGATTAGCCATTTTTTGCCGATCTTTAGCTTAGCAATTAGATTGGTTATATATTTATTCCATAAAAATTATGCTTAAATTGAACTTATTTCATAAAATTATGCAAAATGATATTATACCCATAATTTATAACAAGATATCTTGTTTTAAATTATGGGTATAATTTAAAACAAGATATCTTCATTTCTATAAATCATTTAATTCTAAAATTTTCACATTATGTTCCTAAAAGATGTAAAGAGGTTATGAACCAGAATCATGCATTGAAGATGTAAAGAACATGTTTGAAGTAATTTTTAATAGATTTATAAAACTTTTTAACATAAAAGGCAAGAAAAAAAGGTATATACTTTGACACCATATTAATTTGTAATTCTGGCTCATTACCATTATTATTAAGTCATGCCCCATTACCATTATTATTCAAAGTCAAACAATAGCAAAAGCACCTTGAAAATTTTAAGTTAACATATGGTCCCAATCTAAAAATATCGTGTTTTAAAATTTACTCATTTGCTAAGAATGGTATTTTGAGAAAAATGCAACAAACAAAGAAGTTAAAAGTTTATTACATTACAAAAAGAAGCATGAGCTCATTAAAAATCTTCACTCAACATAAAGCACATAATAAAGAAGAAGCTGAAGTAAAAATAAGATATTGTTGTTTAGAAGCTTGAACAAGTTGAAATTTTCCTGTTTTAATGTGTTGTTATGGCGTTGCTACGGATCTTAAAATCCTAATATCGTCAAAGTACACACATTTTTAGATATTTATTTTATTTTAAAAAAATCATAAATATTTTCTATGAACTAAAATATCAATATTTTAAAAATTGATTTTTTTCTAAAAAAAATTCAAAATTAATGGGGGTATACCACCTTAAAAATATTTAATAAAACAATATTTTCATATAAATGTTAAATGTGCTAGATATTTTTTACTTTTTTTTTATGTAAGTAAAATACAACTCAACCTAAAAAACATTAAATGTGTGTAAAGTGTTTCACAGGACGCAATTATATGACCACGCAAAAAATAATTTGTTTTAACGATTTGACCACGGCTTTTGACATATTTTCAAAATTTAAAAGTGTGATACAAAAACTTATCTAAAAAACAAACTTTAAAAAAAAAAAAAATCTTAACAATATATATATTTATACATATATATATATATATATATATATATATATATATATATATATATATATATATATATATATATATATATATATATATATATATATATATATATATATATATATATATATATATATATATATGTATATATGTATATATATGTATATGCATATGTATATGTATGTATATATAATGCAACTAAAACAAAACTTATTAAACTAAAATGCTTAGTCTATTTAATTTACGAATTAAAAAACCATTTTATTCTTAGTTTTAACATTTGTACTTTGTTTTTTGTTTTTTTAATATGTTTTAAAAGATAAACATTTATAATAATTATATAAGTAAAAAAACAACAACAATTTATTAATACTTATTATAAAAATTCATTAGAAGTGTTTTTTTACTTCATTAAAAAGCATTTTGATAATATAAAAGCATTTAAGATCAAACTTATTTAATTGTAACGGCTTTCTACAACATTTAAATTTTTTTTTTCATTGAAATTTGGTTTATCTTTTCAAATGTATTAACTTTATTCTTTTATTAAAATTCATTAAAGAGACTTTTTTTTTTGTAGAATGTCATCGTTTATAAAAACAAAACTTTTAATAAATTTTTTTTAACAATTTTTTAATAACGTCTATTATAAAAAATGCACATTTAAACAATTTATATATTATAAATTTAAAAAAATATATACAACTATTAATTATACTTATAAAAAAAAAAAAACATTATCAGTAAATTTAAAAGCATTTTGCTTTTGTAAAAACATTTGTTAAAAGTTTTGATGTTATGAAACTTATTTCACTTAAAGTATAATTCAGAATATTTTTCATTCAGCGCATTTTTACAATGATTTTTGAAAGCAGGTCTAATTACATTTACAATGTTCTTTTAGAATTTGTCTGAGAGTTAGAGGGTTATTATTCCCCATTATAGGAATACCAACAATATTCCATTATTTGCAATTTTTTTTTTGCAGTAAATAAATAAGTTTTGCTGTCTAAAAAAATTGTGGTCTTGCAGTGGCCACAAGCCACTGCAAGCCTTAGGTCGTTACAGAAGAGAGATCAGATTAAAAATTAGCTTCATGATATAAGCAATCAAAAAGTGAAGACTTTTTGTCAAGACAAGAGTATAAAGTTGTCATCAGCAAATAGAACCACTTTAACATTAAAATTTTAATGAAGATCGTTATTGTAGATTAGAAACAATACAGGAGCTAAGATAGAACCTTGTGGTACCCTTAAAGTTACTCGAAATGAAGAAGAGTGTAAGCTTTCTAGAATAATTTTAATACTGTAGTTAGAAAGATATGATTTAACAATCTCAGAGTGATGACTATTGTAGAATATTTGGAGAGGTCAAAGTGTTTTCTAGAGTTTTTAAAAATGTGAACCACTTATTTAGCACTTTTTAATAGTTAAGCAAAAATTAGAGAGTTCTGGAGAACACATTTTTAAGACTGATGGAAATCTTGAATTTCCATCATAGTCTTAAAAAAGTGTTTTGCGACAGGAAGAATATGCTCAACAAGCATATTCTTCCTGTCAGTTAAATAATCTGTTTAACTGACAGGAAGAATATGCCATTCAAGAGTCAAGTTAGAGGAAAGATTTTTTCCAAACAACTCTGCCCTATTCTAAAGAGAAGTAAAAAGATCAGACCCATGAATTAGAGATTAAATGTTAGACTTATTTGAGTTAAAGACATGAACTGTTGAAGACATTCCAAAAGTCTCTTGAACCTAACATCTGAGATAAGATACAAGATTTAGTAACTTGAGAATAAGAGCTTAACATCAGACAGTACCTTTTTATATTGGCTTCTTGCAAAAGTAAAAGGACTTCTTAAGAGACATGTTTTTGTAAAAAAAATGAAAAAATAATTACAGTTTAATAAAACAACTGTTCAAGATGGTGAGAAATGTGGAAGAAAATAAAACAACTGTTCAAGATGGTGAGAAATGTGGAAGAAAATAAAACAACTGTTCAAGATGGTGAGAAATGTGGAAGAAAATGAGGATGGAAAATGAGGAAAATGATGGAAATAAAGCTTGACTTAAAATTGAAGAGAAAAATTAAAAGTTTCCAACATTTTTACACCCATTTGTGCATATGGATATAGGTATGGATATAAACATATATGTTTGCTATTTGTTCGGATACTGGCATACAATATCCTTACCTATTTATATAAACTTATAGGGTTTTTATAGGGTTTAGTATTTGCCAAAAGATAAGATGGTCAGATGAATGTGTGGAGTGGCTCTAAAAAGACAAGAAAAGGAGGCATAGTCTTAGACAGATTTTTAAAAAATATTGAATCAAACAACGTTTGTTAGAGAAGATTCAAGTGATTTAGGTATCAACATTAAGCAAGGTAGCAACTTCAGGAGAAAATGGTAGTGGTAGAAGTAAGAAAACTTTAAGAGAGTGCCTTACATATTGTATGAATGAGCTTTAGTTAAGAAAATGCTCTAGATTGTTTATATTAGAGAAACAGTATAAAACAAAGAGGCTAAAGCCTGATGATGATGATGATGATGATGATGATGATGATGATGATGATGATGATGATGATGATGATGATGATGATGATGATGATGATGATGATGATGATGATGATGATGATGATGATGATGATGATGATGATGATGATGATGATGATGATGATGATGATGATGATGATGATGATGATGATGATGATGATGATGATGATGATGATGATGATGATGATGATGATGATGATGATGATGATGATGATGATGATGATGATGATGATGATGATGATGATGATGATGATGATGATGATGATGATGATGATGATGATGGTCATAATAATGTTTATATATGTAATTATATACATAATAAAACATGAATTTTGAATAAAAAAAGTATACAATAGAATGTATAAATGTTTATGCAGCCTCTGTCACAAACTTGTTCCCAGCCCTGGGTATATTTTATCAAACCCGGCCCTGTTCAAATTTTAACCCTGGTTACTTACTAAGGTATGTATATATGTATCAGCACTCAGAAAAAGAATCAACATGCGTGACAACATTTTTTTTCTTCAAGTTACAAATTTAAAAAAACCTTTTTTTTATTAGAATAATTTTATATTATAATAGAAAAATAGTCAATGTTGTGGACTTTACTGTTCACTATTGTTTTTAAAGTTTCAGCTATTTGGTATTTTAGCTAATACTAAGTATTTTACTATTACTACTTTATTTATTACTATTTTAGCTACTATAAGGTGGTTAAGGTAAGGTACTTAAGGTAAGGTAGGTATTTTAGCTACTACACTATAAGGTGGTTAAGGTAGGTACTTAAGGTAAGATACATGTTTTAGCTACTACACTATAAGATGGTTAAGGTGTACTACTTTTTTTAATCTTTTTGAAAAGGTATCTATCTCATATATATATATATTTTTTTAAATATAGGTATTTATCTCAAAGTGTTGAAACAAGTATTGAAAAAGTTATGACTAAAAAAAGACCTGTTCTAACTGAGTCTGTGAGTACTTGTGACTAAAAAAAGACCTGTTCTCAGTGATTCTGTGAGTATATTAATTGTTGTTGTTAAATGATGATGATGTTAACATTTAGGAAAGTCTTTCTAATCCTAACCAATTAGCAAAAGAAGAGTTAAAGCTTTTAGAATACCTTATCAGTGGAAAAAACAAGCAAGGTTATTTTTTAAAATAATTTTTCTTTTTTTTCAAACGATCATATTATTTATACTTATTTTGTATTTATTTATATTAATTTTATATTTATTTATATTAATTTTATATTTATTTATATTAATTTTATATTTATTTATATTAATTTTATATTTATTTATATTAATTTTATATTCATTTATATTAATTTTATATTTATTTATATTAATTTTATATTTATTTATATTAATTTTATATTTATTTATATTAATTTTATATTTATTTATATTAATTTTATATTTATTTATATTAATTTTATATTTATTTATATTAATTTTATATTTATTTTATATTTATTTTTTCTTATTTTGTATTTGTTTATATTTATTTTGCATTTATTTATGTTTGTTTTATATTTATTTTAAATTTATTTATATTTATTTTATATTTTACTTATTTTATAATTATTTTATACTTTTTTATATTTGAAGTGTTTTTTTTTTTCATATTCAAGAAAAGTTTTTTTTTGCAAATGTTCAAAATAAAAGTTTTAATTACAAATATTTTGTTTTTCTTTAATTTAGATCAGCCTCAATTCCGTTTAAATCTGTTTGAAACAGACGAAGATGAGTTGTATGATTTTTTATTAAATTAATTGCATAATCAAGTCTTACAATGTTCATGTAAATATATCACTAGGAGTTATATTAATGTAGGCATGTCTCATATTTTTATAATGCTGAAAGGTTTCAATAAAATCTAAGCATACCGAAATTTTCATCCACTAACTTTATCTTGAAATAAGTTAAGTGCAGTAGGGACGTTGTGGGCATCGAACTTAAAACTTCTCACTTAAGATGCCAGCACTCTACCACTACTGCATATTTGACATTCCAAATATTTTCTGATAGTTCTAAAAAAATATTCTATTAAAATAAAAATTCCAAAATCCAAAACGGATAAACGAAAGATTTTTATTTTATTTTATAAAACAAAAGTTCTAATATTTGAGTTTTAACAACATTGAACCAGGCTTTGGTGAAAAGCGAGAGCTTTTGCGCTATAAAAGCTTACGGCTAACGAAGTTACGGCTTTTGCAAAAGTATAGTTTTTTCTCTCAAAAGTATAATTGTCATTGTAACTAAAATGAAAAACACAAAGTCATTTTTATTAAAAAAAAATTGCATAATAAACTGCAATTCTTTTTAAAAGGCATAATTGTTGCAAAAAAAAAAAGTAAAAAAAGAGCACCAATTTGAATGCAAATTTTTTGATTGGACTAACTGATAAATATTTTTTGATTGGACTAACTGATAAATATAAAGTTGTTACTCACTAAATTATATTGATAAAGTATATCTATTACAAAAAGAAAATATAAAAAAAAAAGAAAATATAAAACATTAAGAATACATAGTTTATACAGTAAGATTTTTTATAACTCAAAATTTTTATCAAATAAATGTCGTTAATAAATAAATTGATAGCAAGTGTAAAAACCCAAAGACAACTCTTATCTAAAGAATTTTTTCATGGCACAATAAATGATGCTCATTATGTATTTGTGACATTAACGTTACAAACATAAGCTTGTACCAAGTAAGAAACCAAATTTTGTATATAACAAGCATTTTTTTTAAATGAATAAACAGATAGCATGGCTCGCCAAGAGCTTTACTTCGCTCTTGCACTCATTTACTCCCACTGAGGCCTTATTGAACCAAAGTTATTTAGAAAAGTGTTCATTTCATAACTGTAATCTGCAGTGTTTTTGAGTATTATTGGTTCAAAGTTTGACTAAGCACTTCTGATATCAGTTCTTAAAAAAGTTGTTGAAAGATCTGCAATCTGACAAATCTAAAATGAATTCTCTGATAAAAAAAAAAAAAAGAGATTTAGATATAACTAAGAAAGTGATGTTACTGATGTTTCTTTAGGCTCAGAATGCAATGACTTTTAAAAGATTCTTGAGTAGAAAAACAAGTGTAATACTGTTTAAACTTCTTATGCTCTTCGAAAAGAACTTTCTGTCAATAAATACATTGCAATCAAAAGCAGTGTTATAAATACCTTATGCTCCCATTATAAGTATCTTATATGCCATGCTGGTCTTCTCTATAAGTTTGTTTCATGTGGTGTATCTGGGAATATTTTTGAGATTATCAAATCGTTTCTTTCTTACTGCTTTTTTAAAGTCATCCTTAAAATTTCTTCTTTATTTACAGTAACTTCTGGGGTACCTCAAGGTTCTATCATTGGTCCTGTTTTTTTTTTATCTACATTTATGATCTTCCCGACAACCTTACGTCCAAAGTAGCTCTTTTTGCTGATGATTCAACTTTATACTCCTGTCTTGAAAAAAAGTCTTATCTTTTTGATTGTTTAGAACAGGCAGTCGATCTTGAATCTGATCTCACTTCTGTAACAAATTGGGGCTCACAGTGGTTTGTAAATTTTAACCCCAACAAAACTCTGTTATTTACTGCAAACAGCTATTGTAGTACTGTTAATGAGAGTTGTTAATTAATAACAACTCTCTTACTGAGTCTCTTCTTTACATCTTCTTGGATTATCATTTACTACTGATCTTTCATGGAAACCATATATATAATTGATTGCTAAATTAGCATCTGCTAAAATCTCTTCTCTTTATCATACTCACCATTTTCTATCTCTTTTGATTCTATTTTTTACATCTAGAAATCTCTTATTCATCTCTGTGTGGAATACTGTTGTCATATTTGGGCTGGATATGGCTCTTTTAATGATGTTCTTTCTCTTCTAGATAAGGTCAAGAAACATTTGATTATAATTGTAGTTAGACCTCTTCTGTCTGCTAAGCTTGAGCCTCTTTCCCATTGTTGTAAATTTGCAACTTTTCTACAAATACTATCATATTCGCTATTC